ATATGTCAATATATTCATATATCAATATATTTTATTAAATTATAGGAATAACATATAATATATTAAATACTATATATAAATAGATATATATTAGTTAGGTGTGATCATACTTTAAATATTCCATATATTCATGTATCAATATATTATATTTAAGTATAGATATAACATGATAAATCATTTATATATAAATATATTTATAYTATTTAGKTGTGATCATACTTTAAATGTTCCACCCGTGTGCAGAGGGTTTTGAGGGGCTCTCAGAAACTCAACTGAATTATCCCTGAAGGCAACWCTAGGTAAGATCATAATTAATACATCCTCATGCCATTAGCACAATTAACAGATGAGATTTAGCTTCAGCATTTTTGCATTCCCTCACATTGAGAGGAAAGCATTTCATTCTCATCTACATCCAGAAGATAGTAAACAGCTAATTTTTAACTGGACCCAAAATAATTTTTAAATGTTCTGACCTTAGTATTTTTCTACTGATTACTCAATTAGTTTTATTGACTGGATGTAAAAGTCTTTAGGACAGGCAGAGCACAGCTGGATGTGCTGTTCTGGAGAATCCTGGACAAAATGTGCCTCAGGGACACGTAGAGGCGAGTTTTTGCCCAGCATATTTCTTAATTATTTGGATTTTACAGGAGCAGCCCTCAAATGGATCTTTTTAGATCATCTATAACGTAACCTTGTGATGTCATATGGAAACCAATCAATCAATGGCTCCCAATTAATTCCTTCATCACTTCCCAGCCCTACTAAGTGAGGTTTGGAAATCAATAATCAATAATCAATAACCAATAGTCAATAATCAGGAGTGCTGATCACCGAGGCCCTGACACACTTGCCTGGGGGGTTCCACTGCCTTCCCGTGCAAGTTTTCAGCCCTTTTTATCTTTCCCTCACATGAAAGAAGTCAGTATTTCCAGCCAAAAACAGAGATGTTAACAGGTCTAAATTATTTTCAGGAGTTAGTCCCGGGCTTGGATCCAGCCTTCTGATTTGAAGCCAAAACTTCAGACAGGAAAAGTAAAAAAAATCAGAGTATGACTACGTGAAATTGGGACGTGGTGTACAGGATTCCTGGCTCAGTGGTCAGTGTGGCTCTAAAGTCCAAAAACGAGACTCAGCTCTAATAATTCTGAATATTTGTGCATTTTTTTTTTTTTTCTGACAGAGTGTGTCTTGAGGGGCATGGGAGTTAAAAAGAAAAAGAATCAGAGCAGTAGKATTTGTATAACTGCTCAGAAATGAAATAAATCTGCTGCTGTGAAACACGTACACATCTCTCTAAAGGTAACGAGCTGCTCTGGGCACATCTAAACCTCAGCCCCAACAAAATACATTTTCATGAGCCTGGACTGGAACGGTTCAGGCCACAGTAATGAATTTTCAATTCCTAGGCTCGRTCTGGGCTGTGACAAAACGCAGATTTATTTATGCAGCCCTGTCCTGCATGTCAATCTGGAGATGTTCTTCATTACTCTCTAATCAAACCCCGGCTTGCTTCCTCATGAAACGATTTTCTTCATAAAGGGAGGGTGCCCACGGGTTACACAAATCCAGATTGCCACAGCAACCAAAGCTCGGAAGGTGAAAAGGATTCCTGAACTCCGCGTTTCTGTCTGAATTCCACTTACAGCACCAGCCAGGAAATCCAGGCTCGGATCTGTGCGGGGCAGGATTTGCATTAATGAGGAACACAGGGAAAGAGCCGTGCCTCCCAAATACACAACCGGGATAGTTTTCCTTGCTGTTTTAAATTAAATCTGGGATGAATTTTTTTTTTTTTGTTTTCAAATGCCTTTTATTGCAGCTTTTATTGGCGATTCGTTWTTCCCTGTAACCAGCAATTGTTGGGGGCTCACAAGCGGAGCATTGAGAGTTTCCTTTCCATGAATGAAGTTCTGTCCAGGCTGCGAGCAGGAAAATGCCCAGAAGAGCAGGGGAAGCTCGGGGGCTGCGGATGCGCACGGAGCTGAGAACAGGACAGCTTTGTTAACCTCGCCCGAAATGAGATCGCCCGGCTGCCTTTSAAACCCAAAGTGGAAGCAAACTTCCCAGAACGAGATCAAGCCGCCGGAAAATCAGCTTGGGATCCTCGTCAAAGGCGTGTTTGCGGAGGCTTTTCGGTGATTAACATTGCCACTCCCGCGCTGGCGGCCGAGGTGCCCTCGCTCGGTGTCACCAATGATGCGCTTTTCCCGCAAGGGAAGGCGGAGCCGGGGCCGGCCGCCGGGGCCATAAATAAGAGGGTCCCATGTCAGGGAAATTTGGAGCCCGTGAGCGGCGGCAGCGCTCGGAGCAAACACCGCGGAGCGAGCATGGCCCAGAGCGCATCACCGAGCGGCCGGGACAGCGCCGGGACAGCGCCCCGCCATCCTTCCCCGGCCCGGAGCGGGACCCCGGCGGGCAGTGGGAGCCCCGGCAACCCCGGCAGCTCCGGAAGCTCCGGGGGAACCGGGGGAGCGCTGCGGCCGCTGCTGCTGGCGCTGCTGCTGCCCGCGGCCGTGTCCGGCTGTAGCTGCGCCCCCGCGCACCCGCAGCAGCTGCTCTGCGATGCTGCCATCGGTGAGTCCGCCCGCGACCCCTCCATCGCCCCCGAACCGAGCCCTTGGGTGGGGACAGTGTGGGGAATGGGTGCTGGGGGCTGGGAGATGCTCTGCACATCCTTTTCATGGGGGGAGTTATGGGGAATGGGTGCTGGGAACCGCTCTGCACATCTCTTTCATAGGGGGAGTTATGGAGGAATGAGTGCTGAGAATGGTTCTGCACATCCCTCTCACATGGGAAGTTTATGGGAGATGGGTTCTGGGAGCAGCTCTGCACATCCCTTTGCCAGGAGAGTTATGGGGGAATGGGTGCTGGGTGCTGAGAGCTACTCTGCACATCCCTTTCACAGGGGGAGTTATGGAGGAATGACTGCTGAGAATGGTTCTGCACATCCCTCTCACATGGGAAGTTTATGGGAGATGGGTTCTGGGAGCAGCTCTGCACATCCCTTTGCCAGGAGAGTTATGGGGGAATGGGTGCTGGGTGCTGAGAGCTACTCTGCACATCCCTTTCACAGGGGGAGTTATGGAGGAATGACTGCTGAGAATGGTTCTGCACATCCCTCTCACATGGGAAGTTTATGGGAGATGGGTTCTGGGAGCAGCTCTGCACATCCCTTTGCCAGGAGAGTTATGGGGGAATGGGTGCTGGGTGCTGAGAGCTACTCTGCACATCCCTTTCACAGGGGGAGTTATGGAGGAATGAGTGCTGAGAATGGTTCTGCACATCCCTCTCACATGGGAAGTTTATGGGAGATGGGTTCTGGGAGCAGCTCTGCACATCCCTTTGCCAGGAGAGTTATGGGGGAATGGGTGCTGGGAGCTGCTCTGCACATGCCTTGTGAGGGGAGAATTATGGGGAATGGGTGCTGGGAGTTGTTCTGTGCATCTCTTTCATCGGGGAAGTTCTGGGGAATGGGTGCTGGGAGCTGCTTTGCACATCCCTTTCATAGGGGGAGTTATGGGGGAATGAGTGCTGGGAGTTGTTCTGCACATCCCTTTGCCAGAGAAGGTTATGGAGAGGTGGATGCCAGGAGTTGTTCCACTTCCAGAATTTTTTGTGGTTATGAATTGCTGGGATTGCTGGGTTAGAGAGTGGCTTTATTTTTTTTTTAAAAAAAACCTTTTAATATATTTATATACTGGCTCCTAACTTAGAGAACACCTGAGCTTTGCCTACTCATAGCAGTGTCTGCAACAGGATATTCTATCTAAATATGCTTGCCGAGTGTAAATAGTGCATATTGATATTTTTGTAGCACCTTTGGAAGGAAAAAAAAAAACCTAAAAAGCAAAGGGACGCTAAGTATAAGCCCCCGGTGCTAACTTGCTGAAACTTTTGATCTTTGTTCTGCTRCGCTGTACTTTCTTTAATTTATTCTTGCGTTTTTCTGTCATTTTCTGGAGCAGGRAACTGCTAGGCCCTGTATTTTCTGTGGGTAAACTGGATAGAGCAGCTCAGTGTGAATTTAACTTCCCAGTCTTTGGGCAATTGTGCTCCGTGAAAGCTGGGYAGCACCGTGCCTGTCAAACAACGTATAGAGAGAGCCTAAAGATCACAAAATTAGGCTGCACGGGGATGAGAAAATGTGACATTTTGCAGCCTTTTGATTCCATTAGCTCGGGCTAAGTGAGGCTGGTCAGCTTCCATCGGGTGTGAACAGTAAATGTAGAACATGGGTTTCCAAAGTGCCACGGAATTAGCATCTCTATGGGGCGGGCTGCTCCTTCTGCATACTGATTCATTGCTTTCAGGCCCTGACAGAAAATCTTTGTGGCCATGGCAGACCCCGAGCTCTGTTTGTGGCCATCAGTTAAATTGGTTTTTAATCTGCTGTGTGTTCAGCGATCTCTTTCATGGGTGTACCTACAGCAGGCATTGCACACTTGGGGGTGTTTGAGGGGCGAAGGGAAATAAAAATCGGGCTACAACTAAAGAAATGTGAATTAACTGCTGTGCTCTGCTGCATTCCTGTGCGTGAGAAAGTGACGACTTTTCAACACTCTTTGATGCAATAGTTTTCCAAAATTAACCATTTTACGGTATAGAGGAAACTTAAAATATCCATTAGGGACCACCTTCCTCAGGGAAGCCATTCTGRTGATGTAGATCCAGATTGACTCAATTCTTAGATGTATTTTGCAAATAGTAACTATATAATTATATGGTAACWATTTATAGTAACTATAAATAAAAAGTAAAGCTACTTTTCATTTAAATCCTGAAGATAGCTTTGTGTTACAATGTTTGGACTCCATGCTCATCTCACCCCTATAAATACTCCTATCTAAGTAAACTTCCCCTCTTGGYTGAGGAATGTTTATGTCAAGGATCCCTTTGTTCACTATTTCTGATTCTAAAATAGCATTTCTGTGCATTATAAAATGACACATGAAGGCAATTCTTCCCATAAATACGTGCGCGCACATTTTTGTGTGTGCATTTGCATAGACACACACATACACACACAAAACCCTCTCTGAGCATTTATGGCAGAATTACTGGATGTGCTCCGGCCACAGAGTTTTGCACAAACGCAGCGCGATCCCTTTGAAGGAGCTGGAGTTTGCGGCGTGAGAGGAAAGCGCAGCTTTGGCAGGGGCAGCTGCCAGAGCCTTTGTGCCCGGCAGAGGAGCTGTGCCCGGGGAAGGGCAGCTCAGACACTG